AAATTTATTTTCAGCATTAAATGTTGAAATATATATTGTAATAGGCTGTATATTAACTTATTGGGAGAAAACTGGTTGTTCTATGTAAAATCAGACGTTGAGCACCCCCATATCACCAAAATGGCATGATCCTTGTTTTGCTGCGAAGACCTGCGCGGGACAGTTTTCTTGATCACGTTTCCGCTGATTTTGACCATTACTGCCCGCTCCCGCAACATGTGTTTTCACTCCCGCAGTATATTTTTTAACCGCCCGCCCCCACGCAATTTGTCTTTGGTCCCGCGGGATCCCAATGCAGCTCTCTACTGCGAAGCTTCAACTGTGAGATTGACAGTCGAATCAAGCTCTGCCCATCGAAGCATCGAATCTTCGACTACTATAAAGCCCCAGTTTAAACTTCATCCCCGTTGCGGCACTATCGAAACTAACACTAAACTCGTGGCTGCATACAGAGAGCGCCGCTAGGCAACTACATCATCAGACAGACTTTTATACAGATATGGTTTTCGTATGTTTACCTAAGTTACTGGCTGTTATTTTAATGTTTATGCAAAAAATTTCAGTTTTATTTGTGGTTTCAATATAAGATAAAAATACACACTGAAAATAGTTTCAGTGTGTGTATCAGTACATTTTGATCTTTTTAAGCCCATTTATGATAACTAAAGCCCAGCTGGCCGATATGAGCTAAACAAAGATGAAGCCTTCACTCGTGTCATGAGTGTTGCATAGTTTGCTCACCAGAGGGTGCGTTGCAGCTCCTCTGTTAACACTGCAGCACCACAAAACACAAAAGAAAACAATCCCCTGACCGGAGTCTACCGGAGCTTGTAGAGACACGGAGAGTGGCTGTGTTACTGTTAAACTGACAAAGAGACACGCACCAGCATCAAAACTGGCCCCCCACACACGTTTCCGTGGCAACTGACCTTATTCTTTGTTTTATTACCACATCAAAGGGATACTCCTTGTCTCACCTAAGTGTGACATGGTCCAGACACTGAACTTTCAATGTAAAACGGACTGCAGTCTCCAAAGACTCAAAGCATTTAATTAAATCTTTAGTTACCTGATTACGTTTGCCTCTATTTGAGTAGTTATGTTAACTGTTGTTGCTATCTGTTGTTGATATTAGTGCTGAAAAGAAGTTTCTTGTGCAGTGTTTTTATTTTCAGCAAGACACTCCTTCATCTAATGTAATCCAAGCTTTCCTCATGTAACCTGAGCTTCCCCAAGTGGACGAAATAAGTATTACATGCCCTCGTCGGAAATGCCGTTAAATGTATAAATATCCTGACCAATAATGCGACAATTGTTTCCTGTTACCAAATGCTTAGAACAGTACAACCGTTCAACCATTGAGGTTTGATTGTGGAAAATGTTTGATTATAATATGTGCAAATAGATTTCTTTTAGACATTAAGTTTAGAAAGGCAGTCCCATGGGAAACCTGAGACACCCCCTGGGGAACCACGCCCCAGACAACAAAAGAGCGACACGCGACCTCGTTTCGCTCTCTTCTCTTCGCTGTTGGCTCTCTGCCACCCTGCTCGTCCCTCTGGACGCTTCGGCACGCGCAGCGTGCCTCGCCAGGCAACGCCCAGACTCGGCCAGCGAAACAAACAGGCCCTTTTGTTCGCCTGAAGCTACACACCCTGAAGTGCCGCGACATCGATCTGCCCCTCAGTTTGTTTTATTTTCTTTATTTCTTTTGTTTGTTAAAGTTATCAGTCCGTTAAGTTACACTGGACTAATTCAGGAACGACCAAGTTCCATTTTAAGCCTTTTTTCGTCGAGCCAACTTCACCGAGGTCAGACCAAGCCACGTGGTCTCGCCAGCTACAACGAAGGAAACCTGAAAACAGCCGAATTGCCAGACGGAGGAGGCGTTTTCAATCAGACACGGAGAACCCTGGAGAATCCCTAGCAAAAAGCCAGGATCGGGCAGCTAGAGTGGGACCAGCAACAGGCCAAAAGCAGACTGTCGACAAGCAGTAAGACTTAACACACGTTCTGTGATCAGATGTCCATTTTAACTCCTAAAATCATAGCACTAGTTTACTTTCAGTAGCTCTTCTATGCCGTATGAGTCAAATGCTTCCCACAATCGAACCTCCAGGCTCGTTGCTCAGCAAATGTTTATGTTCCCTGTATCCAACCATCTTTTTATCACCTTAGTTAGAGAATAAATTCACTGTAATATAACCAAGAGCTGTGTGTGTTGCCTATTTATAGTTCCTGCCAAGAGAATTGACCCCTTTAGATATGAGACTGACTGACTGATTAAAATAATTGAGCGATTATTAACTAACTGATCACTAGTAATAATTGTATAATTATTCAAAACTACCTAGAGGTCCGGAGACTCTAGGATTATAACAACTCCGGTGGTGCCCTGAAACGAGGAATGAAATAAAATTAAATAAAATGATTTTATGAATCTTAAAAATTCATAATTGGGTATCAATTCTTATAAATTTATTAAAATGCATAACTAATAAATTTAGGTCTGCTACAGTATCATAATCTAAATATCGGCTTTTTTTCACTTTAATATTGGCATTGGCCCCCAAAAGCCCATATCGGTCGGGCTCCAGTAGTGATAATGCTCTCTAGTTACTTCCCAGCCGTGTATAAAATCAGCAAATCAATGCATGGATTAACACATTTAAATGATATTCTTTGTGTGGTTAATCAATGGTGATAAATGATCCGATTGTCCCGAGACACCAGCGGCTGGAGCTCCTTCTCTCTTCGACACACACGTTTCACCCACCCTTTCCCAAAGGGTTAGTTATAATTGTTGGTTATTTTTATACTATTTAAAAACATTTATTAAAAGCTTTTTTCTTTTCACATTTTTATTAACAGCATTACATGTTGATATTGATCTTGCAATAGGCTGAATATTATTGGGCGGAAACTGGTGATTCTATTTAAAATCAGACATTGTGCAGGCAGCTGACTTGCAATGTTGACAGAGCAGCTGTGTGTGTGAGTCACTGAACTTAAACTGTTTGTGCACTGTAGCACGATGCTAACAATCTATCCGAAAAGGCAGATCACGGAGAAATTTTAAACGTTCACGATCGAATATCGTAATATCGCACACCCCTTTGATTAAAAAAAAATATATATATGAATGAAAAATAAAACTTTGGATGAATATGATGAAGAGCAGTAAACAATAGGTGATGTGACAAATAAAATGTACTGCGTAGTGTTAAAGGATATCAGAATATGAAATGAATAGAAAGCCTGAAACTGAGCTGAAGTCGTCTTTGATGTGAGTTGGATCATTTCAATTTCCCCTGAAACATTTAGCCTAATAAATGGACATCATGATCATAGTCTGGGTTACTCAATAGGCCTAATTAATACACAATCATTCTATTCAATCAATTAATAACATAATCTTGACGGAACGAAAAAGGCGGAACTCGGAAATGCGAAAGTGCAGCTCTGGACAGTCTGTGCGGACTGTTAAACTCTGTCTGTTGTTTTCCAGCTACTACGGAGGCAGTTGGCGCTTGCAAACATCTCCTCTTCAGACTGCGGTCTGGAAGCTGAACGGGATGTTATTTGGCTGCTGTAAAGTTGGTTTGTTGTAATTCATCCACATAGTGAGTACACAGATGAACGAAATGCTGTTTCTCAAGGCCCATGGTGCTCAATACAAGATTACTATAATCAACTTGCAAGACGAGACACAAACTTGTAACTACACTATACGAGACAAAAAAAGTAACCGATATATGAAGGTGGAGTGAACGTGGTTTGGCTGGAGCATTGTAAAGCGCAGTTCAACATGTATGTGACTCTTTACTAATATAAACAGCAGCTTCATAAATAAAGATAGCAGCAGAGGTCAGTAATAATGTAATTATGCTTTGCAATGTACATTTATATGAAATAACATTAAATAGCAAAACTTTATTACTACCTACTACTTTAGATTGTTACAAATACTTAGTATATCGTATTCGTTTTACAATTGCATCGTAGTCGTTGACCAAATAATCGAATCGTGAGACCAGTGAAGATGCATTACCCCTAATAAATACAGAGTGCAGGTTGTTGTTCATGTGCAGGTGTTTCTTAAACAGATAACAGCTACAGAGAGAAAACCTGTTGCTCTGCAGTAATAACTGTGAGACTTAGTATCAGCACAGAACATGTGTGCAGACACAAACTCCATCAAAGGTCTCTACAGCTGTTACAACTGACTAAAAGTTGTGATCAACTGCCGCTGTCATCTGAAATGGAGGTCGCATCACGTGACACTTTGGAGGAAAGGACCTCTTATTATTAAGCAATTAAGAGACTTGAGAAGCAGCCACTTTTTCAATGGAAGTCCAAAAAAAGGATTCACGGGTGTCTAGCTGCAGGTCACTAATGTGGAGTTGCTTCGGGTGCAGGCTCAGTTCTCTTGTTTGAAGCAGACTGCTTCAGTGAGCTACTTCCTGTTATGATGGCTTTTTTCATTCACCATGCACAAACAAACAGGGTTAGCCTGAGAGGTTTATAAACCGGCTTCCTGGAATGGACACATGGTTAACTTTGGTATTTTCCCATTTATTGTTTCTATTGGACAAATTGGGATAAAGTTTTTAGAGACTGCTCCAGTGTCGGCAGCAGGGAAACAGGGCTTCAACTTAATCCTTGAGGGCAATTGCTCCCCGCCCAAGTACGTCCACTTAAGTGCTTATTTTTGTCACTGATTGGCTCAAATTGTTAGTAGGATCCCCTGGTATACCCTAACCCTTTCTGTGTTACCAGAAACGGTCATTAATCAGATTCCTATAGACGTCTGCGCCACCCCAGGTCCCTCTGTGGACACATCCCTGCTGTTGGTTGTCACAGACGGTAATGCATTCGTCATACTTTAACATTGTGGGGTTTTGTTCCACATATATGCTCTAAATGTAATTTATGGTTCCAGATAGCTCGCTCCACCATGACACCTGTTTTTCTCTCTGTATGTCTGTCTTTTGCTATAGAAACAGAGAGGAAGTGAGAAACCTAGACGTCACCGCTGTCAGCAGTGTGGCGAGTCCTTCACAAGATCTGGACATTTAAAGATTCATCAGAGACGTCACACTGGAGAGAAACCGTACAGCTGTGACCTGTGTGAGAAAACGTTCACTACACCAGGTCAACAAAGAAAGCACCGACGTGTTCACACTGGAGAGAAACCATACCGCTGTGACCTGTGTGGGAAAGCGTTCACTACATTAGGCGTACTAAAACGGCACGTACGTGTTCACACTGGAGAGAAACCGTACAGCTGTGAGCACTGTGGGAAAACCTTCACTACATCAGATGACCTAAAAATCCATGAACGCATTCACACTGGAGAGAAACCGTACAGCTGTGAGCACTGTGGAAAAGCCTTCAATCAAAAAGGTCACCTAATAACCCATACACGCGTTCACACTGGAGAGAAACCGTACTGGTGTGAACAATGTGGGAAAATGTTTTCCCAGGGTAGTAACCTTAAAAGCCACCAACTTGTTCACACTGGAGAGAAACCGTACAGCTGTGACCAGTGTGGGAAAGCTTTCACTAGACTATGTTACCTAGAAGTCCACAGATATTGTCACACTGGGAGGAAACCATATAGCTGTGTCCAATGTGGGAAAACGTCTACTAGCAATCAGTTTCTCAAAAGACATGAATGCATTCACACTGAATCAGTCTAAAACTGTTAGCCGATTCCTCTCCACATTATCATGTGACTGTGATGGATTAGCGTCATGTGATGACGCTTGGAGAGTAACTACACTCCCAAATTCTGCTAGTTCCCTCGATACGTATTAAAAAGATTAAGACTAAATGACAAAGCATTTAATGTGCGCATTAAAATCCTAAAGAAGACTCCTAATTAGCTAAAGAGGACTAGTTTGCATCTCTTATTTACTTCTCCAACCTCAGCTTCTCCTTGGTCACCACCTTCATTTCTGTAACAACCAGTGTCCTAAAAACTGAAATATAATTGAACTATCATGTACAGTATGTCTACAGGACAGAGCTGCACACCAGTTTAGCTTGTATGTTCTCAACTATGCACAAGTACTTCTTACTAATTTAAGTAGGAGAACTTGCACAATCAGTGGCTGAAATACTTTTTGGCCCCACTGTACATAGCAATTGTAAATCACTTTGGATAAGAAGAGTCGGCTAAATGTAATATAATGTAAGAACCACTGGATGCTGCGATGTGGCTGTTGATGGACAGGATGAGAAATTGCTAATGAATTTAAGTAATTGAAAAGGGTGGTGTGAAAATAGATTTTGGCTAAAATATTTGTTGTTGTTTGCAGTAATACCATCCAAACAATGAAACCACACTTACATAACCTATTCAGACATAATAAATTTAGATTGGTCAGTAAATCTATTGTATTTATTTATATTCAACTTGTTGTTAATTCTATAGTATTGACGGATGCAATTCTATAGATTGGTGAAGCATAACAGTTAAATTCTTCACATAGGCACTATAATTTGATGATTGTGTATTAATTAGCCTATAACTCTCTGATCTCTTATTAAATGAATGCTTATGAGTCTGACTGTATACCTCAACCTTAAAAACAAATCACACCATAATGTAGGGATGTGATTCATTTACATTGGAACAACATTTCTTAACAAATAGGCAGCACATGAAATCCAGCGTGATGAATCAGAAAATTAGTACGTTTTATTAAGTCTCTGCCTCTGCATGCTGTCACACGTCTGACCGGCCTCCGTGCTCCACACAGAACGCTGGCCGACAAACTGTGCAGTTTAGCTCGATACTCATCAAGAAGGTTATTTGATGTCTTCCACTCTCCTCGTCGTTGGTACCTTTGCGTCCGCTTTCGTTGCAGAGGTGACGCCAAGAGACCCGTCTTACCTGAGTCGGATTGGCCATGAACCTGACTGTATTAATGAAACCAACAACGGCAGCAAGCAAGTATTAACCAGTCGTGGGTAGAAAAGAGTCTTCACAGAATGCAGGTGGGATGATTTGCATGGGATGCTGCATTAAAGACAACACGGAAATACGGGACATACCGCGTCACGCATTAATTCAAAACGGGACGCGCTATTTAGTTATTAAATACGGGACAATTCCGTATTTTAAGGGATGGTTAAATAATCATTATTATTATTATTATTGCCATAATCAAGCAGCCCTAGTTGCCAAATAAGGCAGTGGGTTTAATTAATGTTTGACCTGAATATCTTGAGTCAAGTCAGTAATTGGTAGTTTGGTGTTTATTGATCTCTTGATGCCATAAAAAGACCCTTTTTGCTCTCTTTTCACAGCCAAGCTCAAAGTTTCTCACCTGTTAAAAAATGGTTTGACACACATCAGTAGCTTGTCTGGAAAATGATCTCTTTGGTTTTGGGTTGGTTGACTGTCAGGCTCCAGGTTGTCCAGTTTGTGCGACGCTCCACTCAGTATACTTCAGTGACAGTGTGTTGGAGTCTTTTTAATGACCCATCAGCTTCTCGGTTTTCTGAGTTTTCTAGTGACTTTAAGCTCATTGTTTATCCGTCGGCTGCATGTTTACTGTTCTGGTTCGCTCTCATAGCGTAGAATAAAAGGAAACACAGTAAAAAGCTACAGTGTGGAAATGTAAGGAATTAGATTTTCAGCGCCCCCGGGCCCTGCGAACTCTGAAGAAGACGGGCGCTCCATTTAGGGTAACCACGGTAACGGCTTTTGTGCGTTACACAGTTGTAGCCTATTTAAGTGACGTGAAAATTATAGGCTGCATAACTTTACCTGATAGGCCTTCATCTAGTTTTGCGGGGAAGTTCCTGTTGATGTCGTGATAACTATTTAGATTCTGGAAATTCAAACGGCGACCATCAGTCTCTCTTTCAATGATTTGTGCTCCGTGTCGCGTCCAAAAAGTTCAAGACCATTCAACTCCGTCGGCAGGTGTGTGTGTGAGGCGAGCACAACCGTAACAGTTTCTCGGGAATGCACCTGCTTGTCGCTGCACCTTGCTGTTTATGTTGCTCCCTGATAAAAGAAATATGTTTCTGCTGATACCTGAAAACAGATTTAAATATGTCAACCTGTTGCTCAGAAGGAGCCTGTTATGATCGTGGCTCTCGACTCTAACTTGTTTTAACAAGCCAGATTAAAGGTAATGCCCTGCCAGTGGCAAATAGCTTTGGTTTAATATTTGATGTGATTACATTAATGTTTAAGTTGAGATTTACAAGAAATGCCGATATTAAAGTGAAAAAGATTTATAAGCCGATATTTAGATTTTGAAAATGATTTGGATAGTAGACCCCTTGTATATCCATCCTGTATAAATTACACTTAGAACAGGCTGATACTGAAAGCGGTACTATATGTGGGTTATAAAACCTTTTTCCTACATGGATTATGTTAATAAAATTACAGTCTCAACAACTTCACATGTAAACAATTGCACGTCAATAAATATTTGTTACTGGAAGGTGCAATCTGCTGTAATAACTACTTCCAATTTAGTATATTCACATCTAGTTAACGATACAACAAATCCACGGCTCGGTCCAGCAGTGGACTCAGGGCCCCGTTTCAGAAAACGAGTTCAAGAATCTCTGAGTGTAAACCTGAACTCTGAGCTGTCAAACTCAGAGTTTCTGGTTTCAGAACAGGTGTTTAAAATGAGTTCAGTCAACTCAGAGTATGTTGAGCCTGCTGGAAGCGCATGCGTGGGGATGAAAAAAAGCCTCATCAATGGAGCTCCGATACTACGAGTCACTATGGCAACGGGTAAATAAATAAAGGCAGAGCCTCCATTTTAATCGGGTGGAGCGAGAAATATGAATGCTGCCAACGTGGACTATGATGGGCTTTAAAATGCAGGAGTGGAGGAAGGAGTCAATACTTTAACAATATTACATTTTATTCAGCGTTGCTCATTCATCATTTACCAGACTGGAGTTTCCTTAATGAATGATAAAGTGCTGGGATTCACCTGCAGCCTGTTATTCATTTTAAAAAGCTACAGGCCTGTTTATGCAGCTGGAACCTGACGGGACTAAATGCCGGTGGCAATAACTGAAGATAAAAATATTAATGAACAGATTAGACACAGTTTAGGCTCCTGATGGACCTGTGATTGTAAAGTGACAGTCAGACTCAGCAGGTCTATTGATGACTTTTTTTGCAGTGGAAAATGTGTCTAGGTTCAAACTGACTGTGAAGTTTTAGAAATCTAATCTTGCTCATTTTGTATTTTATGAAATGCTGTCAAAATACATTCAAGCTATCAAAAGATAATCTAAAACTGTTGTTTCAGCTGCACCACAGTCATCCTCAACAATCATATTCACATCTTATCCAGCTGATAACTACGATAGGAATGTTCAATCTGTGCGACTACAATATGAAAGGTTACTGTTCATTGATCAGTTTTATACAGATTACAGTTTAAACAGTAGCCTATACTGCAGCACTCTAACGCACGGTAAGTGTTTTTGTGCAACTGTTGCCAACCTGACAGCAGCCTTAATGTCCACAGAGTCACTGAGTTATAAAGGACAGTGCAGCTTATAGATTTTATTCTGTGCTGAGGATAAATTTACGATGTCCAAAGATAACTCTCTGTCCTTACAACGATGACAGGTTGATCATAAAAGAGGTCATGTTCAAGAAGCTCGTGTGTTAAAAAACAAAAACTAACAGCCTATTTAACCGTGATTTTGATGTTTCTGAAGACGTAATTGTGTCCCAGTATGTGCTTTGATATCGACAGTATGTATGAGGAAATGTCAGACGGCCGCTTCAGGCTCCGCAGGAGGAGTCAGAGAGCGTAGTAAAGTAAACCTCCTCCCAAGCAGGTCAGGTTCACAGCGCAAGTTACAAACCTAGAGTTTATCTGATCTCGCTCTCTGAAACTGAAAACCCAGAGTTTCACTCATCTCGGGCTCAACTAACTCAGAGTTTGAACCTCAGAGGGCTGTGGTGCGATTATAAAACGATTATCAAATCTTCAAATCCCTTTTTTTTTTAATGTGATTTCTGGATAATTACTAAGCATTTGCACATTAAAATCCAAAACAAAATGTATCCTAATCCCTATCCCCTCCCTAATTTACTTTATGAATTTCAGCTCCTTTATGGTCACCACCGTCCTTCTCTCACCTCTACTGAGCAAAGAATGCACATCTTATTCTCTTACATTAACTTCTGGCATCTGTGCTCCCTTTACTCATCTTCTATTCACTCCTTTCTTCTAAATGTTCCATTTCACCTGCTTTCACATTTTAATTTCTTCTGGAGTCCCTGGATCTTGCAGTTAATCCTGCTGCTGTCCCTTGCTGTGATGTCTGTCCTTCCTCTCCCCTTGCTGACTCATCTGTGTGATAAAATACCACAAACAGTCAGATCAGCTACATTCGTTAGTGAGCAGTGATGAGGTGATGAAGCATTATGAAGCTTTGGGGCTTTAAGCTGAGCACAGTTGCATCTGGTGGTGTGTAAAACCTTTAGACTGAGGCCGAAACGCCACCGTAACTCGCTGATACCAATAATTTTAGTCTCAAGCGTGCAATAAAAGAGGGTTAACTCTAACCTGACAGTTGATATTTATGAGATTCAGACATGTGATTGGACAGTGATATTCATTAAACTAGCCTTTAGTTACATTAGTACAGGAGCAAAATGAACTGAATGAAACCTGGTTCACAGCGTAAGTTGGCGGGTTACAGACCCAGAGTTGATCTGATCTCGCTCTCTGAAACCGAAAACCAAGAGTTTCTCTTATCTTGGGCTCAACGTGACTCAGTTTTGTTGATGTTTACTGTTGCTTTACTGCTTGTCAATTATTATGTGAAGATATGAAGTTTTATGGGCTGGGCTAAGACCCCCTGGTTTAAACATTTATTTAGGCTACACAAACAGTCCAGTCACTTAACGAGGCTGCTGATGAGTTAAAAGAAATATTTTGTAAATGGTAAAAAAGTAGGCTAGTGTTGTATTTTCCAGAACAAGCAGCGCATGACACATCCGCACAGCGTTTGGCTCGATGTTTGTTCTGTTCTCCAGACTGCAAACAAACTTAAAACCAGCTCTGGTGAGTCAGTTCATTTCAAACAGAGTCTCCAGCTGCTGATACAGTAACGATGGTTTGTGAATCTCTGCGGGACAAAAAGCTTCAATCTGCTAAGCGCTTAGCAACAGTAACTAAGGGGAGCTTAACGTGCTTCGCGCGAGAACACGGAGCTCCACAAGGTCCCGCAGCGCTCCTGTATCTGAAGAGCTCCGACAGTCACAAAGGAGACCTGCTGGATCTCAGAGACCAGGACCAAGAGCGGGATGGAGGAGGACAACCAGGACCCGGAGCCCCGGAGCAACAACGTCCCCGGAGGACAAACAGCAGGCTCGAGCTCTGATAGCACCGATGTTCAGGTCAGTGTTCATGAACACAGCTAGCAGCTAACAAGAAGCTAACGTGGCGTTAGCTCGGCCTGGTTCCGACACGTAGCTTCATATTGACTGTAAACAAGATGTAATGTAGCAGGATTCAACAGTGGAGCCATCAGAACCCCGTATCTCTACAGAACCCACACTTAATGTGACGGTCGGAACCGGAGAGGAGGAGGAGGAGGAGGAGGAGGAGCAGGAGGAGGAGGAGGTCTCTTGTAGCATGTAGCCTGCTGCCTGGGTGTTAGCATGCTAGCTAAGACTGGACAAAGCTAAAGTTAACTTCCGGTTCGGCAGTTAAGGGAAACTTAACTGTGATTTTTTTCACCCGTCCCCAAGCGACGCGTCCCAGAACATCGTCCCATAAGCACCACAACACTCACTAATACTTACAGTATGCATGTACAGGTAATAGAGAGCGTTCAGAAAGACTGCTTAGGCTTTGTGTTATCAACACTGCAAAGACTTTACAACCAATGACAGTTACAGGTGGGCAAGGGCGTCAGTTTGTGTGGCGGAGACTTTTAGGGGCTCAGATTAGAGTTGTGACGATGCAGAATACTGGGGTCACAAGAACAAGACTAGAAGTTATTTTAATACTATTTAAAAGAAGTATTAATTGATAAAAATATACAATTGGGGGTCCTCGCTCAGACGAGTTTGAGCATTAAACACTTAATTTCCCGCATTCTGGAGCCATTTTCTGCACCAGTAAACGTCTTTATTTATATAAAGGGCAACACAAAATTCAGATGGCATATGACAATTCTGAATATACAATGCAGATCTGTTTTTCTATATTTACATTGTATTGCATGTTTTCTTAATGTGCCTTATTGTTATTTAACATTTCTTGAATTTGAGGGTCGTGATGGTGCAGTGGATAATTAAGTTCTGAAAATGGTCCAGTCAGCAGCAGAATCTGTGGCTTGAGCCCATGCAACATTTCTCTCTCTCATCATAAAGGTTAACTCTTCAGTGAGCCATAGATTATTCCTCCCGCTAATTCTAAATGTCTTTTTAAAGGAGCGTGCTTATTACAAATAGCTGAAAAGGCATTGCAAGGCATGTTTAACATCAGCTATCAGACAGACACCCTCCAAATTACAGTTGTACAGATCATGATTAAAAGCCTGTTATTAAAATGCTTATAACACCTTTTAAAAACATAACAAGGTTTACGTTTAGGTAGGCCAATCCCAGTTAAGATCACCCATTAGAATTACTTTGGAGTGATTAAGGTTGAGTAGTATTTCATAAAGAGAGGAAATAGTTTATTTTGTGGCGGATCGTGGCCTGTAACAGCCAACAATAATGAGGTGTATGTCCTTGAATAAATTTACTTTCAATGCCAGTAGATCAAATTGTTTGACTTTACTTACTGACAATGTAAGCAACTCTGCCCCCCTTGCCTGAACGATCTGCTCTGAATATATTCGCCATCCTATAGCATCATATTATCTGTTCATGTTGATTTTAACCACGTTTCTGGTAAGACCATGATGTCCATGTCTGTTATATCAACCCACAGTCTTAGCGTGTTCATTTTTGGAAGGAGACTTATAACTTTAAAATACGTGAGTCCAAGTCCGGATCTGTTTTTGAAGTCACATGGGGTATATATTAGAGCCCGACCGATATATTGGCCGATATGAGCTAATTGCATTTAATCGCCATTGGCCGTTTATAACGGCAGATATGTGACTATTAAAAAAGAAACCTAGAGTCACATCCAACAAAAACAATCTGAAAACAATCAGCTGACCGGAGTTTACAGGAGCTCACTGCAGCATGTAGAAACCAAACACGCAGAGGGCTGTGTGAGCGGTGAGTCGTTTTTTTGTCAAGTTACATTAGTCATTACATGACTTAAATAATTATAATAAAAAAACATTCATGACTTGTTAACCCTCCGTTTTTCTCTGCCATCTCCCGGCTTCCTAGCAGCTCACCGCAGGTTAATGTTACGGTAGCTGAGTGTTGGAAGCTGCTGACAGACGTAACTGTAGATTTATTCTGAAACAGTGTGGCAGTTCTAGTGAACGGTCCACATTTATCTCTAGTTCATCACTAAATATTCTCTAAAATCACATAACATTACAGCAGCTCATGCTGCCCGTTGCTAAATTAGCCACAAAGCTAATGGCGTGTTTATCAGTGGAGGAGCGCTAACATCGTAATGAGCCGTTAAACTATAGTTTCTGACGTATTCTAAATATATCTGCAGTTAGTCTGCGTGTCTGAAATGATTAAACCAGAGCGGACATGTAAATAAACGTGAGCTGAACAAGAAAATAACACGGCTTCCTGTAGCTCCTCTTTGTGTGACGTTGTAGATGTGAAACGCTGTAGTCAGAGCCGTAACGGCTGGTTTTTGAGACTATTATCTATTTTATTAACATAATCCATTTAGGAAACAGTTTTATAGCCCACATACATACCAACTTTCAATATCATCCTGTTCTAAGTGTAGTTTATACAGGAAAGGGGTCTACTATCCAAATCATTCTTAAAATCAAAATATCGCCTTATAAATCAGCTCTTTTTCACTTAATATCGGCATTGGCCCCCAAAAACCCATATAGTATATATTTGTTTTTTGTGAGTCAGGCCCAGGATCTGGTGGTCTTTCCCAGCAAAAGGAGTAAAACAATAGACTTACTGTGGGCTTTTCATCATGGTTATTTAAGTTGTTCACTATTAGCAGGTGTAAAGAGGGGCTCACTTTTATTTGACGCATCCTACCACCCAGGTTTGTAGGGTATAAAAGAGGCCCAGACCTGATCAAATGGCACCAATGTGATCAGTTAGGCTCACCATACAAGCCATTTACCAGTAGTCAGGTGAAGCAGGCCATCCAGAAGACAGAGTAGGTTCGAAATTGACCTTTCGCTAAGCCACGCCCTGAATACACAGCTGGCCAATCACAGCCATTGACTCTAATGTAAAAGGCGATGTTGTCTAAATTATTTTGCCAGTATTTTTCTAAGATATGGTCAAACGCTGTTCCTGGGGCACTTGTAATAGTTACAGTTTCAACCCAGAGAGGTTGAAAGGAGAAGTATGATTAATTCTCTTTCCAAAACCGGAAATAAATCAAGAAAAATGTCAGCTGTGGATTGTTCCTAATGTAATGTTAGTTAGCCAACGCTAGCTAACTTCCTACTGAATGTAACGTTATAAATCCCTACGGTTCTGCTTTTTACTGATAGTAATAATGAATAGAGGACTACCCAGCGGTAAAGGAACAGTGTCGATCGTTCGTATCATCTTTTGTCTCTGTCGTCGGGGGATGCGGTGGTTCACTTGTACTGTGTGATCGGTAGGCTTTAGCTTCTATCTTTCATTTTTTTCACGTCAGTTTGACAGCCTGAATAAAACCTTCAAATGTATAATGCAACTGCAAAACTTCTTTCTGAGATTGCTTTTTCCAACAAATTTTACAGTATTTCTCTGGGGAGTGCAGTAATAGACAGTGGCAGCGCCGACAGTTTGTCGGACTGAGCAACAGTAACTAAGGGGGGCGGGGCTTAGCAAAGGGTCAATTCCCTCGAGTCATTCAGCAGATGATTTAAAATATTAGCCATTTCAATTCATCAGGCCAGTGGCAGTAATCAATCTCCTGTTAGGATTGATTTAAATACAACAAGATACTATAGAAAGACACTAGATAAACCACTGGTTTCCCAGAAGAGATTACTTTCCTTGGTTAGGTTTTGCAGAAGCCAGGAACAGATGTCAAATGCCAAAGTGTGTGAGCATGCGCGGAGCAGCTTCCACAAAACACACTGTTAGAGGTCTGTAATATTATGAGATGTGTAAGAATAATTTCTGTCATTTTGAAACTATGGCAGAACAAATTAAACTGGCGGGCCGCCATGTTCTATTTATTAATGTGAATCGCTGTATTGACATTTACAAATTGTGCCTTTCCTTTGCTAGCGTTCATCTCAATTAGCAATCATGATTTATGGGTAACCATAACTTGATGTTTTCTGCTCAGATGCTGAAGCATTTCCGTTGTGCTGTTGTGGTAGGCTAGTTATGTTTTACAGCAGACACTCAGGCATGCAAACTCCTCACCTTTCAGCAAATCAGACAGGGTGTCTCATATGGACGCTAAAGGGTACCTTTTGCATCAAATAATGCTTCGTCAGCCTATCTGAAAGCATCTGTAACACACAAGTAATTATGAACAGGCACATTTTTGGTAACATACTTTGACTGACAGGACCACTTTTGTCAGGAAGCAAGCCTGATGTAAGACAGAAGTAAGCTAGCTTACGATGTTAACTGTCCTGTCAGATACAGTAATGTTGCCAAGTTTATAACTTATCCCACTCTTATTAACCAATAATGTTAGCTAAGCTAATTGTTCATTTATTTATTTATTATTTATTTTAAACCGGTGGCAGCACCCTGGATGTAACGGAGTTTAACGTCAGCAAGACAAAATGTGTCGGCATCTGTTTCATTTATACTGGGTATGTGTCTCTATCACTTTTTACAGCACTTGTTAAAAATGCTTTGATAAAAAGCTTGTTAAATAAATGAAAGTACTTTGAAAAGGTTTATTTGAACATATTTATTTAACATAAGATAAGACAAGCTACAAATTATAAAATTACCCATAAATGTGCATTCACCGGTTCGTACCATTTTAACAACTTCTTGTCACAGTTTCTTTTTGGCCAAGATTTCCGTTCTCTCCCATAGTTCTCTCCCTGTGAACATGAGAAAAGCATTTATCCGGATTTTCCGACCTGAAAATCTGACCCACATGAATCATCAGATCTGCAGATCTGTAATAAAAAAAAAAAAAAGGGAGGGGTACAGGAGCTGTCTGAGTGAAATGGAAAGGATTTCAGGACATCTACAGGTTGACAAAACAAAGTTTTCTTCCTTTCCAAGTACAGTATCAACAAGGATGTTCGTTTGCGTTCAGCTCATAGACTGTAGCCTATATAAGCTTCAGCTGCCAATTCCACTGTGCTCTCGCGCCTCACTGGTACGTAAGGTGTTGGGCAGTAACACTGTAATATTATTTTTCCCTGAAAAGAGTAGTGTAATGGTCGCTCCACGCTCCTCATCAACAGACAGGCAAACAAGCGCTCCGTGTGGTAACCATGGCAACGGCTTCTGTGTGACTAAATCGGTCGTTCTCGTCTCAGGCATACGCCCACCCGCTGCCAGAGTTGAAATGTCAAACTTTTTCATAGCGTTTTTCAATAGACAGAGAGTTTCCTGAAGAATATAACTTTCTTCAGCAGTTAGGCCACCAGGTCTTAAACAGGCGACGACATTTGTTGCTGTCTATTATTTAAAAAAAAAAAAAAATCTATTAACTTAGACTCAATTATTTCATATTGCATATTTAGCTGTGGAAGTTGAGTAAAAAATGAATTCAAAATAAAAAATTATTATAGAAACTGATCTGAAAGCAACACAGAATGAGTCTTTCTACATTATATTCTGTAACTAATTAATTTAATTAAATGATTGATTCAATTTTCATCTCTCATCTGAATTTTGTTTCCCTTTACACAAATAAAAACCTTTCACCATAAATGAATGTAGGAAAGGCAGAAATTGGTGCAAATTGACCAGAATGCAGGAAATTAAGTGTTTAATGCTCTAAATTTTATGGAGGAGGATCCCCAATGCGCTGTACATAGTTATATGGGTTAAACTAAACTTTAGTAATCGGCGTACTCAAGTTTCTCGATGAACAGTTTGAGCCCTAAATGTGGATTATGTTCCGCAGTAGGGCTGCAGCTAACGATGATTTTAATACTCGAAGCTTCAAGATTATTTCATCGATTCATTGATGCATCATTTAAGAAGTAATTTTGATTGGCGACTTCAGAAATTCATGGCCAGTTTGGAAATTAGTGTGTCATACAGCAAACATCAGACCAACAACATCAACAGACCAACAACCAGACAGCTGCTTTACCAACACAAACATTACCCGAGTGCTATACAAGTTATACTAACGTGCAGCTCCCCGACACCCAGGTAACTCACAACTGTGACATTATAACCCAAACTCATGGCCCAACCAAGAGAAAAACAAACACACATGTATACATTTGCAGCTGAGGATTACTTTGGCTAGCCTTCAACTAAACAATCATGATTTCAATTAAATGCTAAAGTTACTGTTACCTTGTCTGTGGGCAAAACACCGGGTGCTTTCTGATCAGGTGCTCTCGTGCTGTTGCGGTTACGTAAGGCGAAATAAGTTTCGTTTTATGGTGGACGAACTGTAACATTACAGTGTTGTTTTCTTTAAGCTTGAAATAACACCATACTTTGGAACCTTCTTGGTCCTTCGCTATTTTTTCTCTCTTCCTCCACTTTTCAAATAGTAATAAATGTCCATGCGAAGCAATGTGCTATATATTTATATGGATTAAACAAAGCCTTGATTCATTTATATTTATATTCATTTATCTGACGCTTTAATCCAAAGCGACTTACAATTGCTATGCATGTCAGGTGTCTTGCTCAGGGCCACAATGGTGGATGTCTCACAGTAGGAATCGAACCCAGGTCTCCCACACCAAAGGCAAGCATCATATCTATGCGCCATCAACACCCCATGCCATAATTCAAAGAATTTGCGGTAATGCATTTTAGTAATTGATTTAATTGATGAATCATTTCAGCCGTATTACACAGACATGCTTTAAATGTATTTCACGGTTCTTTGTATCTTGCTCCACCATGACATCTGCCTTACTGTCTTTCTCTCTGAATGTCTGTTTGTTGCTATAGAAACTGAGAGGAAGAGAGGGACTCGAACGTCACCGCTGTCAGCACTGTAACAAATCCTTCACAAGATCTGGATCTTTAAAGATTCATCAGAGGCTTCACACTGGAGAGAAACCGTACAGCTGTGACCAGTGTGAGAAAGCTTTTACCACATCAGACAAACTAAAAGTCCACCGACGCGCTCACACTGGAGAGAAACCGTACAGCTGTGACCAATGTGAGAAAGCTTTCACTAGCGCAGGTAACCTAAAAGTCCACCAACGTGTTCACACTGGGGAGAAACCTTACTGGTGTGACCAATGTGGGAAAGCTTTCACTACATCAAGTATATTAAAAGAACATCAACGGATTCACACTGGCGAGAAACCGTACAGCTGTGACCAATGTGGGAAAGCTTTCATTAGCTCAGGTGGACTAAAAGTCCACCAACGTGTTCATGCTGGGGTGAAACCCTATTGGTGTTCCCAATGTGGGAAAGCTTTTACTACGTCTGGTGTACTAAAAGAGCATCAACGTATTCACAGTGGAGAGAAACCATACAGCTGTGACCAATGTGCGAAAGCTTTTATTAGCGCTGGTATACTTAAAGTACACCAGCGTGTTCACACTGGTGTGAAACCCTATTGGTGTGACCAATGTGGGAAAACTTTCACTACATCAAGTGTACTGAAAGAACATCAACGTATTCATACTGGAGAGAAACCGTACAGCTGTGACCAGTGTGGGAACGCTTTCATTAGCTCAGGAAGACTAAAAGTCCACCAACGTCTTCACGCTGGAGTGAAACCTTACTGGTGTGACCAATGTGGGAAAGCTTTCATTAGCTCAGGTGACCTTAAAATGCACGAACGTGTTCACACTGGAGAGAAACCTTACAGCTGTGACCAATGTGGGAAAGCTTTCATTAGTTCAGGAGACCTTAAAATCCACCAACGTGTTCACACTGGAGAGAAACCTTACTGTTGTGACCAATGTGGAAAAGCTTTTTCTCAGCGTAGCAACCTTAAACGCCACAAAGGCAGTCACGCTGCTTCCTTTAGAAAATTTTTCAGAGCCAGGCCAGCGGTTCCCTCCTGCCTCCTCCTCATTCCTTGATAGATATATTTTTATATTCTGAGCTTTAGTAACGATAACGTAATATTCTTTGTTATTGTGTCTATAATTACATCCTATCTTGCTCTTCCTCCCCCAAAATCCTGCCGTTGTCACACACTGTAGGTATGAGGACATGCCACCCACCCTCACCCAGTCTGCTGGAGGGAGAGTCCTGTAAGAGCCATGATTCTCGATCCACTTGGGTGGAAACAGGGACTACAAAAACACTACAGACATTTGTGTTCAGTCTGAACAAACCTTTGTTCTTGTGAACGTATGGTCGTCATTATTGGACTGCATTTTAACTGCTGTTTGCTTTCTGTTATTTCTGTAAATGTGTTGCTTTCTGTTGAACTTGCATCCTGCCAGGGTTGGTGCCGTAATCAGGGATGTGATTTTTTTTTTTCCGGAATCAGTGGTACGTAACGTGTTGGTAATACTGTAATATTACGTTTCCCAGTAAAGAATAATGTAACACTACTGAACGCACCATCCCTGATGTGAATGCGTTACCGTCACCGGTCCTTCTGTTGTTCAAGTCAGCTGTTAGCCAAAAAGCTAAAGGAAGGATGGAGAACAGGGAGAGAGAGGTATTTTCGACAGCTGTAAGTAAGGTTATTACAATCATTGTGTCACGATGCAAAGAACATTGTCGTCCGTTGTAAACTTTGTGCAACAAGCAAAAAGCTTTTAACTGCGAACCATTCTACATTTATACTTGGGCTAATGTTAATTGAAGCATCAGCTAAAGCAGCTCAGCAATGTGAAACTCAGAAAGAAACTCCGGCCGCTGCTGCCAGTGCTGCTTGGACTCATCAGGAGACAGTGGGGTTGTATCACCCTGTAGTAAGTAGAGTAGCTAATATTACTTTTTGAAGGAGTATATGCTAAGTAACTAGTAGGTGAAAACTATATTAGTTAGAGTTGACTATAAGGATTGGATAAATTAGGCATGTTTTGATTATTGCTTGTTATAGCCTAGGCTATGTCTAATGTTTATTTTTTTTACACAACGGCTTCTGTGTGATTGGCGCGATCCCATGAAACTGGCTTCCACTAACTTCCACTGAACTAATTTGAAAGTTAGTAGTTATATTATTTAGCTATAGATGCAATTTTTTTCATGTCAGTTGTTGTTTATCTGTTGATGTTAAAAACAAAAAGTTAAAAAACATAATTAAAAAAATTATTATTTTAGAGAGGCTGTGATGATGCTGTGGATTAGACACTTTGATTCCCACTGCAACACATCCACCAAATAACTTATTGGCATGGGTCCTGCTTTACCATCCATGTTTTATTGGTGTGTGGGGGGGTATCAGTATATTTTCTGTGTAATAATCTGAGCTGTAGACTTGAGACTTGGACGCAAGTCCTTTTCAAAATTCTCATTAAATTAGTCGACACAAAGAGAAGCTTTGACTCATTATTTGAAACTGGATGTTCAATGAACTGTTTCCATTCAACAATATTTGTTGTGGGTTCAGAAAACATGACATTCTCCATCCATCCATCCATCATCAACCGCTTGGAGCCAATCCCAGCTGACATCGGGTGAAAAGCGGGGTACAACCTGGACAGGTTGCCAATCCATCGCAGGGCCACACAGACAAATAACCAATCACACTCACACCTAAGGACAATTTAGGGTCACCAATTAACCTAGTCTGCATGTCTTTGGACGGTGGGAGGAAGCCGGAGCACCCCGAGAGACCCCACGCAGCCACAGGGAGAACATGCAAACTGCACACAGAAAGGCCGGGGCAACCGGAGTTTAAACCCACAACTTTCTTGCTGAGAAGCGACAGCGCTAACCACCGTGCCGCCCCATGCCAGATTCTGTCGGGTCCAAAAAAATTATAATCGCAACACTGCATGAACTGAACTCACAGATGTAAGACTTTGTCTATGTACACAAAGGTCTATTTCTCTCAAATAATGTTCCCAAATCTGTCAATCAGTGTTAGTGAGCACTTCTCTTTTGCCGAGATAATCCATCCACTTCACAAGTGTGGCATATCAAGATGCTGATCAGACAGCATGGATTTTGCACAGGTGTGCCTTAGGCTGGCCACAATAAAAGGCCACTCGAAAAATGTGCAGTTGCATCACACAGCACAATGCCACAGATGTTGCAAGTTTTCTCATCTGGCTCGTTTTCAGTAGTTTCTGTAACATTAAAGTTAGTTAGTGTTATCAGGCCGAAGAATCAGCTGCAGGCTCACGAAAGCAGTAACAGAGAATAGTTACGGTATATCTCAGATTCACAATGCAATATATAAAATCATTTTCACAATATTGCCTACACACACACGCCTGTCTATAGATTTGTCTCACTCTTACCCCTGCTTTGGCTAACCTTGTCCTTTCTCCCAATACTGTTTCCTTCCCAGATTATTTCCCACACTTTTTTGTACCTGGTATCTTGTTTCCTCTACCTGCAGCTCTCGGTGTGCAGCAGTCTCTGTGAGCGTCTCCCTCTTATTTTCTCGTAGCAGTCAGCCTTGACAGCAGCTACAGCAGGTCAGTCATAGTGAGCCAGTCCCAAATACTGTCAGCAATCTTTACATCTTGTCATGGTCACATATGTTTCATCAGCTAATATATCTCCTATGTTATAATATTTCTAGTCACAGATCACCTCCAGTAGTATCAGCAGAAACCAAAGCAGCAGCAGCAACTGTTCCCTGTAAGTTATGTCAGCCCACCGTGTTTTAAAGCTAGATCTGGGTATTTCCTGTGTTTCTTTTTGAAACTGTGTCACAGCATTTGTTGACTTATCGATACAGAAGCATGTGTATATGCATATAATCAAGGAATACATAACAGCCCTATTTAAATCCTTGTTCCATGTGGCCCTTTTATACTTTGAGCGCCTGCCCTTCCAAAGGTCTCTGCACGGCCCTGGTCTCGCTCAAGCCGTAAGACTGAATCCTGACCTGGAGGGCATCAGAGTAAAAGGTATAGAATAAAAAATATGTCTTTATGGGGACGACGTCTTGGTCAGTCTAAAGAAAGCAGAGTCAGGAATACCAAGATTAATGGATTTCCTGCAGATGTATGGACCACTGTCCATTAAGGGTGTAGCCTACCCTTAACGTTGATAAAACACAACAATATCTAGACAGACAGGCCTCCCTGCCCCTGGAACTTGGCAACAGAATTATGACAATAAAGACAAACATTTTACCCAGATTACTTTTTTTAAATTTGTTTCAGTCCTTACCCATTTGTGTCCCTGATAGTCAATACAGAGAATGGGATAAGACGATATACCGTTTTATCTGGAACGGCAAAGCTCCCAGGGTGAGATATAAAACTTTAAAGCTGCCAATGTGCAGTGGGGGGATGTGCTTGCCAAGACTCAAAGATTACTATTTAGCAGCAAAAATAAGACCACTCTTGCTCTGCTGCAATAACACATTATGTCTACCAGTCAAAAACCAGGATTTCATAGACTTGAAAACCATCTCAGATAGATACGGCCTTGCTCAGACGGATTTCTATAGGTAGCCTACCTCCTACTCCGGCACTACTTTGATGAGAACATTAAAGGACCATCAATTATTACCAAAATGTCTATGAAAGCCTATAATACCAAAACTGTCAAGAACTACACTGAAGGCCACTCGAAAATGCGCAGTTTCACTGTTATGGGAGGGTGAGGGAAGCAGTCAGTATCTGGTGTGACCACCAGCTGATTAGCGACAACCAGCTGCAGCTGCGATAATGATGTCACGGCATATACCTGGAGAGAGAGAGAGAGCGAGAGAGAAAGAGGGAGAGAACACCTGGACCACAAACGCTACCCAACACAGGACCTGACAGGACGTAACAATGTCAAATAGCTTGTGCTGTGCTGTTTGGCAGTGAGCGATCACCAGCAGCGTTACGCTTATATTATTATTATTATTATTATTATGGACCTTAATTGAAGTCATCATCATCACTGACACTACGGCATGGCACACACATATCGTCACTTTTTGTTGAAAAGTGGTGGGGACATTTAAAGGCTCAGATTAGGGGTGTGATGAAAACACTTTGCCTACGAGACGTGACGACGCAGAATATTGGGGTCACCAGAACAAGACAAGGAGATACTGTTTTAGATGAAAAATCACTGATGAAATATTAGACAGGTAATCAAAAAAGAGCATTAAACACTTCATTTCCTGCATTCTGGAGACATTTTCTGCACCAATTCGTGGTGGAAATGTCTTTATTTATAGAAAGGGAAACAAACTTCAGGCTAAAGTAGCACATATGTAAACAATAGCTGACTACTCACCAACTCGGCCTTTGAGCCACCAACCACTTCATGGCCGTTTATCTCTACAACTCCATTGGCTATACATGTTTGCACTTATGCAAAATGTTGATCCCTTATCAAGTGTTCCTGCCCTTGTGATCGTTGCCTCTGTTGTGTTTTCTGTCCTTTCTGCACCACTCAGCTGTCCAGTTGCCGCCCGTGGGACTAGTTTTACAAATAGCTAGTAGGTCTAGTTAAAACAAGATCTTCTACACCTTTCTCTGACTTACTGCATCTTTAAACTCTTCACACTAAATAAATACTATCTCAAAGCATATAGCATGGCTAAAGTAGCACATATGTAAACAATAGCTGACTACTCACCAGCCCACAGCAAAAGGAGAACACCTGTCATGCATCTCTTTCAATGACTGTCCTCCTGGTGCAACAGCGGTGCCTTTTTAAATCTTTCCTGTTGGCCTCTGAGCCACCAACCACTTCATTTATCTCTACAACTTGACATCTACTTATTTGTAGGCCCAGGCAAGCAGTTTTAGGTGTGCATCCAGGTCCAGGAAGAACAATGAACATCATAAAACATCTGCAGTTTAAGAAACATGACATCATGCTGTCTATGAAGATTCTCAGTCATCCAGGTCATAGTTATCCAACGAAGGTTAAAATGAAGGGCAACTGGACTTGGTTGAAGCTACTTTCAGCCAGTTGTCCTTCATTTTAACCTTCGTTGGATGACATCATGCTGCTGCAGCTATCTGAAAAAGTTACTGACATTGAACCTGTAAAACTTCCTAACTGTTCCCAGGCTCCCAAACTGTGAGTTGGGATCTTTCCCCTTTAATGAGTCTGAGTTCAAGAGACTTTTTTAAATGTGAAATTATTTGTGGTAGAAGTAGTTTCTGTTGTTGTTCATTTTTTTAGACTTAAAACTGTTTTTAACTGTTTCTTTTTCTTCTATCACTCTCATGTATTGTATCAGACGGGAGCTGGTTCAGATAGCAGGTCATGGAGCAACAACTGCACAATCTGATGGTACAAAAGAAAGTGAGTGGAATCTTTTTTACTATTATCACAGTCAGTTTTCTTATTTTTGCTTATATACACTTTCTTTTCAAGCTCAACTTGAAAAGAAAGCACATTTCAAGGTGTTTCATAAGCCAGTTGAGACATCATTTAATAAAGCAGGCTAATAGCTGAAGTTGCTGTAAGACTCTTAAAGATGTTTGGATGCAGTTTTATAAAAGTACAAATAATCAGATTCCTTTGGTAAATGACAGCAGTGTGTTCAGTTGTTGGTAGAATGATGCTCTGCGTAAAAGTTAAGCAGATGTGTTATACAAAAAAAACACTTTCTCTTCTCATCTAGGATCCGAATCAAGTTCTCTCAAATGTGCCAACATTAACGTTGTGAAATGTCCGTGGGTCAAAGACGAAGACATAAAACCACCACTTGACCACGAGTTCTGTGGCAAAACTATTGATTCCAGTCCTATTGCAGTGGATGCATGTCCAGTGAGTTGGCATGGCTTCTCACTTTATTTCTCATTAGATGTGTTTCAACTTTATATATAAATACGTTTATAAATAAATAATACAAATGTCTGTAACAAACAATGTATAAATCTTTCTCACAGGGTGACTCTGGTGGAGGAGTGGTGTACAAGGAAATGATTTATGGAGTCCATTCTTCCTCTGGTGTAATAGCCTGTGCTCAAGAAGCTAGATTCATGGACGTCTGTAAATACAAGGACTGGATCAAAAAGACTGCTGGGATTAATTCAGACAAGCTAAAGGCATGTCTGGGGTGTGGTTAACTGTTAAATGTCCTGTCATATCTGGGTTTCTCTAATATTCAACTATCACCTGAACAGCCCTTTGAGACAATAAATGAAATTCTACATCACAACTAGTCTCAATGTCTGAGTCACAAATGTTCGTGTACAGATTCTTGCTGTTACTCCTTTGTTATGATGAAAAGAAAACCAGATTTCTACAATTGTATATTTACCTTTATGTAAATTTAATGGATCTTGCCACACTAAAGTCATTGTATGTAGGAAATATAATCATTGTCTGCACTTCTTTTGACTATATTGTTAATAAAAGGGGTAGCAGACTGGTAATTTGGCATACCGGGCAAAAGCCTGTTGGGCCGACGCACCTATGGGGCCGGTTTAACGTAAATTATTTATTTATATAACTTTAAAAAATTAGCCAAAGTACCCAGAAAGCACGGTCAGCGGCCTGTTGGTTCATTTTCCAATCACATCTCTTACTAGCCCCCAATCCCTCCACCTGTGGCCTCTGTTCTTCTGTTGCAGGCCAACAAAAAATGCCAAATGTGCCAAAATAACCAATATGTTTGCTACCGGGGCTTTCTATAAATAAAGACATTTCCACCATTAATTGGTGCAGAAAATGAAGTGTTTAATGCTCAAAATCTTTTTTGATTACCTATCGAATATCGTAACAGACATTGTTTATGTAGCATAGTTCCTAAATGGAGTCTCAACTTTGGCTACCTGTCCTAATGGCTGGACATTATTTTGTAAGCATTGTGTTGGCTAATCCCACTCTGCTGTGAAAATTACTTGAGTATGAGTTGTGTACTCCATGGCCACCTCTGATCACCAGGGACTAAATGAGTACACTTACCTTACTTACTTACTACTCAGCTTTATAGTGGTTTGGGGGAATATTATAGTATATTTAAGAGGACTGCACTGATGGTGGATTGGAGAGGAGCGTCAGACCGATTGTTGTTGTCTCCCTCGACCAAAAATGCCAGGGCCAGCCAGTCCAGCCCTGTCTCAAATCCACCCAGCTCCAGTTCAGTGGTGTCTTCTGCCAGTCTGATTAGGGAGTTGGAGGTGTGGATGGTTGTGCAGAGCGTAGTGCTCAGTAAGCTGCCCTGTGGCGTGCCTGTGTTTATTAGGGGGAGGAGGTGTGCTTCCCTATTCTGACTTACCCACTTCTCACTCCCGACTCGTCAAATATTCACACTTGGTCAAGGGCTTTTTACGTCCTTTTTAGACGTTTAGGGCTCTGCGGTCAAGTTAGCTTAGCAACAACAAATATGCAACGTCCGGTCAGACTGTGAAAATAAACCACTAGCGTTTAGAAACATCTGCATTTTGAAACAGCACATTATTGAAGTTGTGAAACGTTGCAGTTTGGTTAAGTTTAAGCACAAAAAGTAATTGGTTAAGGTCAGGGTCTATTTATTAATCTATGTAATTACATCTTTTTTACTGTTTTACTAATTATTATCCTGTTTATTTCTATAATCTTAAATTTAGTATTTGATGTATTTTAATCATTTTATCATTATTTTACTTTCCTTTAATACCTTAATTTGCCTCTAGTGTTTCCTCATTGCAAATTTGAATTGCTTCCCCTGTATTCCTGCTCGACACCCTCTGCTACAATCATTGTTACTAGTCCTATTGTTATTATGGTCATTACCATTACTATAAATATCTGTACCATTATTCTTTCAGTCTGTACCAACATTAACGTTTCTCCTTTTACTGTCTGTACCTCTGTGTGTATATTGTGTAGGCTGCCTCCCTCCCTCTCTCTCTCACCCCCAACCGGTCGAGGCAGATGGCCGCCGACCCTGAGCCATGGTTCTGCTCCAGGAAGATTTTCCTTGCCTCTGTCGTCTAGTGCTTGCTCTTGATGGGAATTGTTGGGTTTCTGTAAATAATATCAGAGTACGGTCTAGACCTGCTCTTTGATGAAAAGCGTTATGAGATAACTGTTGTTACAAATTGGTGCTATTTAAATAAAATTGAATTTAAAAGATATATCAATGTCAGCTAAATATTTCATCGGCACTCCGAGTGCAGAGGTGAGGGTCGGACTGTATGTCACTGACACCCATGGTCAGTTACGGAGAACCGCAGCTATTGAACTGCCAGCATAAAGCCAGGATAATGTCAGAAGGCAGATTCAGATGTTCTGACGATTTATGCTACAGATTCCTCATATTAGACTGTGCATTTATCACTATTTAGTGTTCGGGTTTAGTTTTTGTGTGTAAAATCGCTGCAGTGAACATGAGCGCACATAGACACCACGGTGGCTTATATTTTCAGTTTTCACTATATTCAATTTTAAGTTTATTGATACAATTATTCAAGTTCAACAATACCAATTGTGTTTTCTAACATAAAAAAACCCCGTTTTCAATGTTGCAATTATTCACGTTCAGACATTCAGATTCTGCTGACACAAAGATCAGCCCATATGGACCCAGCATGGGACAGACCAACCTGATGGAACAAAACCATCTTGGTACAAATACAAGCGTCCAGGCTGCAGTGACCAGTGATATTAATTAACAGAAACTAGCATTTACTGTCCACGGATATTCTGTGCTATCAAAAGCTAATGGCACTTTTTGGTCACATGGTTACGGAAGCGCATTGCATTCACCAAAGAAAAAAAAATTGACACCTTATCTCATAATTATGAGAAAAGATGTCATAATGATCACTAGATAATGGTAAAGATGGAAATAGCCTTTATTCACAGATTTGAGCTTCCGGGATCAATAACTCGTAAGCAAAATGTGTTTAAAACACAAACAACTTTATTATCGTAGTTAAGTAGACAACAAGCTACAAGTACATTTTCACATAAATGAGTCTTCCTAGGAGTGGCACAAATAACATTGGTCTCTACGTGCAGCCAGCTGTGAGATGAGTGCGCAGGGACCGTCTACAAAGTGCAACACCAAAAACACATTCTGCAGAGATATTCAATAACTTCAGACTTACACATTAATGATATACTGCTAGTTATACTACAACGCTTAGTTTAGGGGGAAAAAAGACTTTTGCATACCAAATATTGGGTAGACAAGCTCAGGATATAACACAGCTATCAGGTAAAGAGGCATTGATTTTTCCTGGATGATTACAATTTTACATTTTTTCCTTTGTTGGAAAATTAACTTATTAGGATCCCCATCAGCATCGGCTTTTCTGATCAACTGCATGTTCAAAAAAATATATATAAAGGAAAATGAACAGCAGTATCACAGGGCTCAATCTTTCCCACAGATTGACTGTGGTGAGAGTATATTTGTAATATTTAAATGAAAATATATGAAAGAATACGTTACCCTATTTCTATTAACCAGGTATTATCCCATTTTAACTACATTTCATTTTCCACCTTACTTCAGTCTTTACTTACCTAAACCTCTCTGTCTGCTCAGTCTACTTTATTTCAGTTTGTAAAGACAACTCGCATTTTGAATTTCTTCAGCTGCAATTCTGTTTCTACAGTAGCAGGTGAGCCACATGAGGAGGAGGCTTGTTGTTAGTTACCAATCAAGACCCACATATGCAAGTCTTCTAACATCATACAAGATGGCGTCCCTTTCTGTGTGTTTCTCTGCAGGTGGAAATTGTTGTGTCTTGTGAAGTTTTTAAGAACTTTCACACCTTTGTCGTGTTTTAGCATGCGTTCGGCTCTGAAACGTTCAAAGTGAAGCAGCATGAATCCGTTTGTGAACTATAAGGGAACCATTCCGGGCATAAGTTTTCCCACAGTGTTCACACCAGTACGGTTTCTGTCCAGTGTGAACATGACGGTGGGCATTTAGATGGCTTGATGAAGTGAAAGCTTTCCCACATAGGTCGCAGCTGTACGGTTTCTCTCCACTGTGAACACGCCGATGGATTTCTAGGTGACCTGATGTAGTGAAAGTTCTCTCACATAGGTCACAGCTGTACGGTTTCACTCCAGTGTGAATACGCCAGTGGATTTTTAGGTCACCTGGCGTAGTGAAAGCTTTCCCACACTGGTCACAGCTGTACGGTTTCTCTCCAGTGTGAACACGATGGTGGATCTTTAGATAGCTTGATGTAGCGAAAGCTTTCCCACATTGGTCACAGCGGTACTGTTTCTCTCCAGTGTGAACATGTCGGAGGTGTGTTGTAAGGCTACCAGATGTAGCGAAAGCTTTCCCACACTGGCCACAGCTGTACGGTTTCTCTCCAGTGTGAACACGTCTGTGGATTTCTAGGTGAAATGATTGAGCAAAAGCTTTCCCACATTGTTCACAGCTGTACGGTTTCTCTCCAGTGTGAACACGCCAGTGGGTTGTTAGTCCACCTGATCTAGTGAAAGTTTTCCCACACTGGTCACAGCGGTACGGTTTCTCTCCAGCGTGAACACGTCTGTGGATTTCTAGGTGAAATGATTGAGCAAAAGCTTTCCCACATTGTTCACAGCTGTACGGTTTCTCTCCAGTGTGAACACGCCAGTGGGTTGTTAGTCCACCTGATCTAGTGAAAGCTTTCCCACACTGGTCACAGCGGTACGGTTTCTCTCCAGTGTGAACTCTCTGATGAATCTTTAAAGATCCAGATGATGCGAAGTATTTGCCACAGTGCTGACAATGGTGACGTTTGAGTCCCTCTCCTCCTCTCTGTTTCTATATGAACAGACAGACATACAGAGAGAAAGACAGTGAGTGAGGTGCCATGGTGGAGCAAGCTATCTAGAACCATAAATGACATTTAGAGCAACAGAGGGGCAAATAAGAAGGTGTCTTTTCAGCCCTGTAGCCAGGCTGGCAGACGGCCCTATCTTGCACTCGGCCAGACTGTCGGCAAGTCTCTTTGTCAGATTCACACTGACGCATTGTTTAAAAAGCAAATGCGCCAATTTTTGCACTGATGGGAGTGTTGGTCTTAAAATGAGGTGTGGTCAGGGACATTGTTGGCGCATTGCTATCTTGAGTCAGCAGAAGGAGACTGTGCCACTGACCAACAAAAACCTGGTCTGAAATTAGTGACGCAGCATTTTCCTGCTATTTAAAGCTGAGCCTGACTGATTTATTGGTGTGCCAATCTTATTGGATGACATGAGCTACTTGCAGATAAATCGGTATCAGTGTTAATAACAGAAACGGAGAGTTGTATCCCTCACTCATGTCATGAATGTTGCATAGTTTGTCCACCAGAGGGCGCTTTGCAACTCCCCTGTTAACAACCCTGTCATAAATGCACCACAAAACAAAATGATCAGCTGACTGGAGTCAGCATTCATAACAAACAACCGAGTGTATCTGTGTGAGACAGTCAGTTTGTCATTTATCACGTGAAATCCATGAACTAAATAATAAAAATACGCCTCATCACTTCTCCTCTGAAAACATTAAATACTTTCTAACCCTCCCGTTTTTCATTTCCCTCACTCGTTTCCTCCCAGGTCACAGCAGTATGTTTAATGTTACAGTAGGCGAGTGTTAGGCTACGCTGTTGACAAACAGGATTGAAGATGTACTTTGTTAATAATGGGACTGCTCTAGCGGACGGTCCTATTATTTGTCCCTAGTTCTTCACTTCTAAATATTGTCTAACATCGCTTACAGCATCTGAACAATATTAATTTCAAAACACTATTTATCCCTGAGGGACAATTGAAGCCTGTGCAAATAATTTAAATTGGTGATGATATAGTAACATTGTCATTATAGTCCAATTCAGCATTACTAATTGAAATGAGTACATTGTCAAACATACAGTGCAGAGGTAATTCATGTGACGTATATAGGTGTATTGTAATTAGAGCCCGACCGATATGGGATTTTTAAGTCCGATACAGATTTAGATAATTGAGGATTTTAAAATCCGAGGTAGAGCGGGTTGGCCGTTAATCGGAAGGTCGGCGGTTCAATCCCTGGCTCCCCCTGGTTTCGTGTCGAAGTGTCCTTGGGCAAGATACTGAACCCCGATTTGCCCCTGGCTGTTCCGCCAGTGTGTGAATGTTATTTAGATGTTAGTCGAAAAGACTAGAAAGGCGCTATACAAGTACGGAGCATTTACATTTAGAACAATGCAAGCTGTTTAATGAATAAAAATAGTCAGATTATCACTGGATTGAATCGGATATACACATATAAACAAATATATACACATACACACACACACACACATGCTGGTCATATAATTAGAATATCATCAAAAAGTTGATTTATTTCAGTAATTCCATTCAAAAAGTGAAACTTGTATAATGTATACATTCATTCCACACAGACTGATATATTTCAAGTGTTCATTCCTTTTAATTTTGATGATTATAACTGACAACTAATGAAAACCTCAAAATCAGTATCTCAGAAAATTTGAATATTGTGAAAAGGTTCAATATTGAAGACACCTGGTGCCACACTCTAATCAGCTAATTAACTCAAAACACCTGCAAAGGCCTTTAAATGGTCTCTCAGTCTAGTTCTGTAGGCTACACAATCATGGGGGAGGGCAAGACACAAAAGGTCATTGCTAAAGAGGCTGGCTGTTCACAGAGCTCTGTGTCCAAACACATTAATAGAGAGGCGAAGGGAAGGAAAAGATGTGGTAGAAAAGTGTACAAGCAATAGGGATAACTGCACCCTGGAGAGGATTGTGAAACAAAACCCATTCAAAAATGTGGGGGAAATTCACAAAGAGTGGACTGCAGCTGGAGTCAGTGCTTCAAGAACCACCACGCACAGACGTATGCAAGACAAGGTTTCAGCTGTCGCATTTCTTGTGTCAAGCCACTCTTGAACAAGACACAGCGTCAGAAGCGTCTCACCTGGGCTAAAGACAAAAAGGACTGGACTGCTGCTGAGTGGTCCAAAGTTATGTTCTCTGATGAAAGTAAATTTTGCATTTCCTTTGGAAATCAAGGTCCCAGAGTCTGGAGGAAGAGAGGAGAGGCACAGAATCCACGTTGCTTGAAGTCCAGTGTAAAGTTTCCACAGTCAGTGATGGTTTGGGTGCCATGTCATCTGCTGCTGTTGGTCCACTGTTTTCTGAGGAACTTTATGGAGATGCAGATTTCATTTTCCAACAGGACTTGGCACCTGCACACAGTGCCAAAGCTGTTCTTAATTGGCCAGCAAACTGGCCTGACCTTAACCCTATAGAAAATCTATGGGGTGTTGTGAAGAGGAAGATGCGATACGCCAGACCCAACAATGCAGAAGAGCTGAAGGCCACTATCAGAGCAACCTGGGCTCTCATAACACCTGAGCAGTGCCACAAACTGATCGACTCCATGCCACACTATTCTAATTATATGACCAGCACCTGTGTGTACATATACCAAACCAACACAATGAAGAAGAGGTTGAAGCAGAACATAAAAAATAAAGTTGGCAGTCCAGTCTAGTGTCTGATCTTCTTATGGTCCTCCCCAGAGATTAAGGAGTGCGATCCACTGGTTGTATAAAAATTTTCGACAGTTACTGTCATTCTGTGGGAAACACTTGTGTATTAGTGAATGTAGTGGTGCATATGGGATGTTGCTCTGGGACGCATCACTTGGGGATGTTCGTTTGGTTACGGGAGGTATGAGGCTGGGAGGGAAGAATTACAGTATACTTACTACAAAAAACGAGACAACCCCACTGTATATATGCAAGCTCTGATCAATATTACCAATTAGGGTATGGGGCGATATGGCGATAATAAAAATTTTATCACGATAAAAACATTTCAAATCATTTGATATTGTCACGATAAATGTCAAATCATTATTTCTTTTCAGGTTTAAAGGCTAAACCAGATGGTTAATTGTGTGGTTAAACTATTCTTAAATGTCAGAACGTGACAAACACTTGATCCCAAACAGTATATCACTTAACATATCCTGTCAAGTTTATTTTTATAGTTCCCAACCTTTGCGGGGGAAGTAGTGCGCGCCAGAGGTGTGGAGTCACAAAAATGATGACTTGATTTTCCAAAATCAACTCTACTCTGACTTTATAACCAATGACTCGTGACTTCACTTGGACTTGAGCCTTTTGACTGGAGCTGACTTGACACTCCCTATGTTCACATATAAATTATGAAATAAAAAAACTGTGCTGGCCAGACCGGCGCACTGTGAACGGTTCTTGATCGTTCCCTCTGGCTGGATGAATTTTACGCATGATTCATGCACAACAGCTGGGGACTCTCCACAGCACCAGACAACTTTCTAAACTCTTCTAACTCACGGAAAAAGAAAGGTCAGGTTGAAACAGTGTAGAGAAACTGCTGCTGCTGTTGCGTGAAGCCTAATTGTAGCAAAATTGCTACATATAGTATTAATAACAACAATAATAGTAATAATAAACAATGCCTAATATTTTAACATTCAGCCCCAGCTATGGTATAGTTTGCATACTGCTTCCACCAATCATAAAATCAAGTTAATTAAGATTAAACGATAATAGCACCGGGTGCCGTTTCACAAGGACACTTTTTATAATTTATAAATCCAGCGCACCCCTTTCCTTTACAGGCTCTCATCTCTCCCTAAAAGCCCAAACTCCCTCTCAGCAGCTTTGATGTTTAATTCAGCTTGGGCCAAAGTGACTCGGCATTGTAACTGCTATAACTTCCTATTTAACATTAATAGCTTCAGCCTACGGCATCTTGCTCTATAGGCTAAAGGATAAGCAGCTATAGCTAAGAATTAAATGGATATTATTTATTCTAAACCAGGTGTGTTCAGTGTTGCTTTACCTGGTCGTTGCTTGTAAAATATCCACTGTGTCTGTGTTTTCTAACCGATTTGTAGTTTTCTCACCGTTAATTTAAGTCAATGCATCTCCCGACCACATTTCAGCTTTATGTAAAGTAACTTCATCAACTGGAGTTCACCTGTCACCTGCTCTGCTCCCCTCCGTGCGCACACACACACACACACACACACACACACGCGCACACACACACACACACACACACACACACACACACACACACCCCTCAGTGACCCATCTGTCACACAAAGCAGTCAACTTGGGGGAACGGCGCTGCTGTCGTCCTCTTGCAGTCTGGATGTTGCTTCAAGTTAATAATTTTGGATTATTTCTTATTTCATGGGCTATTTGGGATATTGGAGGAATGCATATATAGTAGTTTTTGAAAGGAAGTATTACATTTTAAAAGTTCAATAGATTGTTTCCTATTTCAATGAGTAATCCTGTTAAATAATTGTGATCTCAATATTTACCAAAATAATTAGCAGCCCTACATGAACATTTAATTTCATTCATGTAATTATATAAAATCTGTTATGTGAAACTGCGCCTCTGCCTTCTTTCTGTACAGGCTAAAGCTTCCTTCCTTTACATTTAGTCATTTAGCTGACGCTTTAATCCATAGCGACTTAAAATTGCTATTTATGTCTCGACTTGGGACCTGAGTGCTAAAACTTGAGACTTATTTGTGACTTGTAAAACAATGACTTGGTCCCACCTCTGGCGTTTGCACATTTCCAGCCCTGTTTTGTGAATATACATGGTCCCTTTTGGTTTACATGTTAAAATTACCATAACATTGTATAACATTATTCTTGTCACAAATAAACTGAAGT